CTGGCTCACTGCTGCCAACTAGTGGTCAGAGGCTGAACTACAACATAAAAATGAACGACTGGCAGGAAAGTTGACATTTTAAACCTTAATAAAAATCGATAAAGACTTTAGAATATCGATACAGTATCAGGAAATGAAATATCGCGATATTTCAGTGTATCGATATTTTCTTACACCCCTACTGAACACATGTTCTAAACTGTAAGCTCCTAATCTGTTTATCACTGACAATAATCTGATTCTGATTCTGATCAAAACACCTGGGACCTCACCTGTTCCAGTGTGGCAGCAAAGCCTTGGCGGTCAGCGACGTACGGCAGCCCATGGACCAGCCCCACCTTCTCTGTCATCTGATTGGTCATGTCTGTCAGGGTGTCAGGTTTCACTGAGGAACACAGGTGAAGCTGAGTCAGCAGGTGGAGCAGAACACATGGACCAGATCAGAGGGAAACAMACCTGCTGAAAACTGACCAATAATCTGAGTTTACCTGTAATCTGAACAAACTGAACCACATGACGACTCTGTGATGTCAGAGCTTTATCATGAAGCTTCAGCACATCACAGCTGTGTGACACAACGTGAGCTAACAGAGTGTTAGAGCAACGCTGCACAGGTTCTGGTTCTGGTTCTGGTTCTGACCTTTGATGCCACTGTCACAGATCCACACCAGTCCATATTTAGCTGCTTCATATCCTGGCATCAGGTTGTTGATCTTTGGGTTGATTCCAACCTTCTTCCCTCCTGAAAACCACAGAACAAGTTAACGTTAGCAGCTAGCAGCTAGCAGGGGTGGAGCAAAGACTAAAGGTAAACAACAAACAATAAACAAACTAAACCATTTATAACAAACAAACCAAGTGTAAACAATGAACCATAAATAACAGTAATAAATATAATGTGTCACTCACCGATGAAGAGACGAGCGTCGACGTTTGGATATTTACCCAACAGTTTCTTACAGACGTCAACAGCTGGATCATCCTGGTCCTGAACGCAGAGCAGGATCTCATACTGAAAACACACACCTGAGTTACACCTGAGTTACACCTGAGTAACACCTGAGTTACACCTGAGTTACACCTGA